GCCTCCGGGAGGGGGGGGGGGTCTCAGGCCAGGCACCCCCCTTCCCCAGCCCCAAGCTCCAGGCCGCCGCCCCTCCCCTGCTGGGGCAGCACGGTGGTCCAGGATCAGCCCTGTGACCTCTCCGTGTCTGGGATCCCCACACCATGGGGGAACCCAAGGGGGAGCTGCTAGTGCAATGGGATTTGGGCTGGGGGACCCCCCTGGCCCCAGTGTCTCCTCCCTGGCCAGCAGGGCCAAGCGTGGGTCGTCGCAGCAGCGGGTGGCGCAAGACAAGGATTTGGTTAGTAACCTGCAGGCAGGGCAAGGTGGCTGCGACTCTGCCGTGGTACCTGGTGCTGGGATCCTGTTAGGGTTCTGAAGCTAAGTAGGGTTGTGTCTGGTGGTTCTTGGGAAGGGAGACCCACTTGTGCTGGAAAGAGCTGGGCCTGCCTATGTAACCCCCTTCCTGGATAGGGCATCCTGGCTCCCTAGATCTCTCCCTTTCAGGCCTGGAGCCCCTGCTCCGGACAGCACCGCTCCTGCTGTGAAGTTTTGTGCCCTGCCATGAGTTTAAGTTTGGGAAGTGGGCTCAGGGCTGGTACCCCGATGCGGTGGCTGCCCTGAGTTCGAGGCAGCCTGCACTAACTCCCCCGCCCCGGCTCTCTTCCCTTTGCAGCCCGGCGAGAGGAGTCGGGCCAGTCCCGGCTCTGAGGACGTGGCCATCGCCATGGAGACGGGGTAGGGGCTAATGCTTGGAGCCAGGGTGGGGGCGGGGCAGGAATGAGGCAGACAAATGCCCTTTGCCCCCCGTCCAACTCCCCAGCCCCAGGCCTGGCAACTCCCCACCTCCCAGCTCACCCTCCGGACACAAGCTCCCAGCAACCCGCTGCCCCCAGCCGTGTTCCTGGCGTGTGGGGCAGGGATTATGACGGTGCCTCAGTGTCCCCTGGCCCAGGCGTCCCCTCTGGGGCTCCTGCCCTGTGAAGCGTTATGGAGGGCAGGAGCAGATGTGCCCAAGGGTGTCTGGCGCAATCTGAGCTCAGCCGGCGGCACAGTCTCCCGACGGGCTCCGGAGCCTGGTTGCACTGGGACACGAGGGGCAGAGGCACTGGGAATGGGCTTCCCAGCCAGCTAGCCAAAAAGCCAGCCCGGTCTTGCTAGCATCCCCATCTCCTTGCATCTAACTACTCCCAGTCCCTTCCCAATCCCAGTCAGACCAGACCCTCTCCCACACCCACCCACCTGGCATTTACCTGCCCCTCCGGACAGCCCTGCCAACCCTCCCACGCCTCCCACAGTCTTCTGGAACGAGACTCTCCGGGCCAAAACGGCCTCCCTTCTTCACTCCCCTCTGCGGAGGAGGGCACTTGCTCCACAGCCAGGGGGCAGCGCAGTGCAGAGAGAGGGACACTGGGAGCAGCAAGTCCCATTGGAGCCCATTCCCGTTTCCAGTGGCAGGGAGTTCCACAGCTCGTGCGTCTCTTTACCCTGCAGGGAGGGTGTTGAGCAGTCGCAGGCCTCCCTTGTGACTCTCGTTCTGTTTCCTTCCAAGCGCCAACTCTAATCCTGCCACCTCCTGTTGCCCCCGGCCCAAGGTGCAGCTCTTGGTTCTCTCAGGTCAGCCTCAGCCGGGCCCCAGGCTCCTGGTTGGAGTGAAGAGGCTGCTCCTGCC